CATACAATTTAGATTAAATTACTGAAATTAATATTAACCGACTCAGGTTTATTAATTTATTCAAACTCAAGGTTTATTAATTTATTCAAACTCAAGATTGAATAAATATGACATAGTTATATAACACATGGATCATACTATTTCGGTAATTGAATGGATATTAACCGACTCCGGTTTATAAACTTAAAATCTTTATGCAAAAAAAATTATGTGAGAACTGATGGGTTTTATGCATAAGAACAATCCTATGTGCTCATACAAACCCTAATGCTTGGATCTAGGTTTCTCTATTGTACATGAAATGAATCCAAGACTTATAAACCCTAATACAGCATACATAATTTCGAAATTAACATATAACATTAGATCTAGATGTTTACCTCTTCAAATAGTAGCTTGAATCTTATTCTCTTGAGCTTAGAGTCACAATTGTAACTCCTCTAATGGATCACAAACACCACACAAGCAAGAAGGCAACTTTGAGAGAGAGGAGGATGCTAATTTTCGGCCTAGGGTTTCTCTTGGGAAGTAAGTGGCCGAAAATTGCGTGCAAGGGTCTCTATTTATACTATAGGCTGCTAAGGTTTCAGTCTAAACCCTAATGGATAGCTTAGCCACCAAGGAGCCCAAGGAACCTTCTGGAATAAGGCCCTTGGACGAAAATATGATGATCCTTCATCATAATTTCGTTCCCCCTTAGTCCATTAGGTTTCCCAGCCCAAAACTCAAAAATCACACATTTGACAGTTTAAGCCCCTTTATTTAATTAATCCATTTTAGTCACCAAATTAATTCCTAATTAATTTATGACTAATACTAATTAAATAAATATGATTTATCCTTTAATATATTATTCTTATAATATATTAATAAACCATAATATCCTCTCTCTTTCTTTAAATTACCTTGTCAAGTTGCTTTGTTGAAGGCAACCCAAAAGGACCATGCATAACCGGGTCAAGTACATACCAAATATAGTTACGGGCTTAGACACTAATCCAACAGTCTCCCACTTGGATATGTCTAGTAACTATATCTCACATACGACTTCAGGATTCGGTTAGAAATCCTAGCTCTTATACGCTTCTGTCAACTCTGATCAAAAAATCATGTCCTTCAGATAAGGGATCGTATACTCCTCTGTTCTAAATATCATGCCGACAATACTTATTGTCCAGCATTTTGTTTCTCGATCTCTGATTTGTTCGACATAGAATT